AGAGAGGACGCACAGGATGGTAATTATCTGAAATCATTCAATCGTTGCCGTGATATTATAGAAGCCGATACAGAAGTCATACATATTATAATTCTCATTGGCAAAAGATATACCTACCTCTCAATCCATCAATATGCTCTCCAGCGAAAATTTGATGGGTTTATTCGTAGCTTTTCGATCTTGCGTATTGAACGTATGTTTGTTAATTCGCGTAAAAGTTAGGCGATTTTGTAATGCTCAATTTTCTAAAATTATTTCTATCCTTAAGAATTATTTCTATCCTAAAAATTATTCACTTTCCAAATCGTATTATTTAATTCAGGATTGGTAACTTTTTTCAACTTCCGAGAAAGTATGAAACTTTGGAATTTTTTGGCGCATAACTACGTTTGCATTTTATCAAAAAGTATTTGACAAATCTGATTTTCTCGATAATAATTTAGAAATTTGAGGGCCGCCTACTCTTTTCTCTGAGATATTTTCAGAGGAAGAGAGTTGTGTATAATATTTCAATATATAATATTTCAATGTCGCGAGGCACATACATTCATGAAGAAAACGTAACAAAAATTTATAGCGTAAACTGGAATAGCTGGTTGCACATATACTTTCGCTCGTAACATTCCTATAACAGTATGATTTTTACGATAGGAGAATCTTTCGATTACATAGTAAATCCTCTCGTTCAATTAAATAACTTTAGAAGAGCACGTGAAACAAACATATATTGTTTTTATATGAGCGTTAATATTTTGCGAAGAAAAAATTCATAGTTTTTGCAATATTCATTCAACTTCTGTTCAATTTTTTTTTTATATTTTTATTTTGCCTTTTCTATATAAATTGCTTAACGTTTCTGTCGTAAAATATATACTATATATGTTACTGGTTTCTGAAATATAGGCACAATACAATTTTATATCCCCGTGCTTTACATACGGTTTGCTTTGCGAATGTGTTTTCTTTATCGCCGTGACGGATATTTAATTCTGTATGTGTAATGTTTAATTACGAAATGAAATAATACAGATAGCTTTGTTCCCACGTGCGGCTTAGTGACGCATTGTTTTCATTCAAAGGAAAATAATCTCTTTATATTATTCGATGGCGTATCATTTATGAAACAAATCCTTGTGCATGGCAGGTCCAGTTTTCACGTTGATGACGCGCGTTTTATGGACGTGGTCCTTTCGACATCGTAAACATTTAATGCTGATCGATTTACTGGCGCGAATGATAATAAATGCAAGCGTGTGCTGGGCGTTGATAGAATACCGGCTAATCCGTTTAATACCCCGCGTTCTAGAATTTATGACTTGCAGCGTTTGATCACAAAATGCTATTGCGCCTGACGAATTAGGCATAAACGCGAACAAAGGGGAAAAATTTCGAGCATGAAAACGGAACAAAGGTGAATAAAAAGTTTATTTTGCAATAATGAACTGCCGTGAATAAGCGTTATATGATCAAATTAAATGTATTATGATTTATAACAAAAGCTTAATACTATGTGCAATTAAACTTAATGAAATAATATATATGTATATTGTACAGAATAAAACTGTATTGTTGAAATTTTCGGAATTAAACGTTTAATAAAACAAGAGATCATTAATTTTTCGCATTTTTCCTCTATTTAAAATTATCTATTCATAATAATCATTATTATAAATAAATTATAACACAAATAAATATATAAATTATAACACAAGAAATTTTTATTCCTGATACGTGCTTCTCTCAAGAAAGTCGAGATATCGATGTAAGAATGAGATGCCTGATAAGAATTCAAGAGAGATAGAATAGAGGTCATATCAAATGAAAAACGTGACGAGAAAGATATTTGAAAGAAGATTTTTAGCCATACATATTGAGTAGCGACGTAGCACGTGAAGAGGAACAAGGATACTTTAGAATTTTTATAGGGAAAATCTCTTTTTTCTCAGACCAATAATTATTCGGTCAGATGTCGTCACTTGTCGTTTCTCCGTCTATTGCATTTAAGTAAAGTTTTTTAAATAATACAATCCAGCGACTTGAAACACTGTACAGGATGCGCTCGTAAATCGTAGCGAGAAAATACTAAAACTGCGCGTTCACATAACTTGTGAAAATAAGGAAGAAAAAAGCTCAGCATTATTGGATGCACTCTTAATCTTATATCACATAATACCTCTAAAGATATTTTTTTCAATTGAAAAAAAAAGATACCTCTAAATTCGAGATGTCTTTTTTTTCATTGAAAGAGATATCTCAAATTTAGAGCAAGGTTAACAGTGTAGGAAAGAAAAGAGATTAAAGCCATTTCGCGTATTTGTATCTGCGCGATCTATATCCATCTCACATATGGAAAGAGAGCTCGCCAAGCAGACACATTTCGACGTCTCGAAGCCTCCGGAGACGAGGTTGACCAATCGGCCGTGGAAACAGACCATGGAGAGTCGAGCGACGACAAACAAAGGTATATTGCGTGATTCCTCTCGAGGCTAGAAGTCGGCGGTGACCCGCGAACCAGGCTGGCCAATCGGAGATACCGGACAGATAAGTGCAAAGGAGACTTTCGAGGGAGCGACATCGTCATTCTCGCTCTCGTCCTCGTCCTCGTCCTCGTCGTCGTCGTCGTCGAAGTAGCCAGCGGCCGCATGCATTATGCAAGCCGTGGGAAATGGACGGACACGAAATGTCTGTCGCGCGAACTCCCTGTCCACCCCCGTCCACTGCATCAGGGGTGAACTTGATGTGGCCGGTGCAAAAAGGACGGGAACCGACCAACGAATGGCCAAACGAGAGATACGCGGCTGGGCTAAGAGATTTCCCAGAAGAGATTTCGAGGCGCCGCCGCCGCCGACATCGCTGTTACTGATATGGTACGCGATCGATTCGCCGGGTTTATACCCGGCTTCTCGCTCTCCCCGATCGACAGATGCGCGTGGTAAAATGTCTGAAATATTGTGATAACGCCACCCACTCGTATATATGTCTCTCAAAATCGGAAACTTTTCCAGTGGATTTGGACAACGAATTACGATATGGAGAGGAGGATGTTCTTTTTTTTATTTAATCTTTCTAGATAATGATAATGCAAGAATCTTACAATCAAAAAATTAGTAAAACTTCCTAAAGATAATCGTATGTAAGATACATACGAATAATAAAAAAAATATACAATGTATTATGATTATTATTTGTCTCCTCGTAAAATACAGTTTGTAAAATATAAACCGCCTTATCGATAAAGCCGATGAATGCTCTCTTCTGCCGGTATTTCGTGCTAGATTACGAAGGCAGATAAAATTTGAAAAAAATTACGTCGCGTCTACCAATCACGGAAATCGCAAGATCGCCGCTCGAGGATGTTTCGCAGGACTTTCGTGAAAGGAAGGCAGAAATCGCCTCCGGCAAAAGCGATATTGGTCGCGGGCGCGTTGCGCCTCACCGCTTTGCTGACGCCACTGGCAGTTTTTAATCTATTTTAATTTCTAACATTTGCCGCTCCGGTGCCAGCCGGTCCCAGGACGATTTATGCTTAGCAGCAGCAGCAGCAGCAGCAGTAGCAAGCAGCAAGTCGTCCGGATGCAGCGTACGTACGTGCCTATGGGACTACCGCGTGTTTTATGTCGGCTAATCTCGTAAAAATTCATGCGAAATAACGCCCGTGCTTCATCCGCCTCGCACGTTCTCCAACCCCCGCCGCCGCTTGCAGCCCGGCACGTTTCTGCACGACTCGACCCGAATTTCCGGCCGCCACCTTCCGCCTCTCGCGATATTTCCAAAATAGCATTAAGACAATGCAAAATAAAGCAGGGCGGAAGGGAGGGGGTAATCGGGAAGCCAAGAAAATAAACTTCAAATTTTGTCATATTAATAAATATATTATCCGGAAATATTATTAATAAATATAATATTATCCGAAATAAAATTGCTTAAGAATTGTTTTCTTCATATACTGCGTGATTTAATTTAGCTTGTAGATTTATGTAATTTAGAAAGAATTGGATTTAAAGTGTGAAGAAAGATATTGATATTGTTGATTCATCGGTGGTACCATCGACATCCAAAGATGAAAATTATTATACATTACACGCGACATCATTGGGAACAAAGGGTCGTAAGGGTCTAACTATTGCTATTATTCAAGTGAGTTGCCCAGAGCGCGCTCTATTTAATATCCGTTCGTGCATGGACACATTGGGGATCAATCCGGTATGGCCATCAAGTAATTTAATCTTCACGCATGCCATGCCCAACTAAAAGCCATCCCCATGCTCCCTACGCGGGAGCAGCCAATGAACCGACACAGATCAACCATATCGAGCCATCGCTTTATCCAGCACGCTGATAAAGTAAACTGGTGCGGGAGATATCGCGATAATCATGCTAGCTTGTAATACAGCCTACAAATAGCAAGGCATTTGTGACCTGTGCACTTCTAATGACCATCGTTCTAATGATCCATCATTGCATCGCGAAAAAACCCTTCGATGTAATTTAAATTAAGAAACTTCAAGATGTATACATTCTTGAAGTACATACATACATATATTAATAAAAATATTAACTTTTAGATGTAACTCAATCTGTTTATTTGACATTTATAATTTTCTTAAATTTTCAAAATGTATTTATTTAACTTTTGGCTACTTATATTGTAAAATTAAAGTTTCCTTTTCTTTTATTTTAATACTTTTAATCAAGCCTGAATTTTATTTAATATTTTCTTTTCTCTTTACCGGACTTAAAAAGTCGTGTTTATTTTAACTTTTTATTTTCGAAATTATCATTTGTTTGTGTATCTAGTCCTTTTAATTTTATCAATCGTATTTAAAAACGCCAATCGAAATAGGCTGCGCTTTTTTCTTTCTCGACAGACATTGTCTTAAATAAAAACATATGACCTATTTCCGATGAATGATCTCGATAATGACCTCGCTTGTCGGAAGAGGCAGGTCGAACGTCACCGACAGGGAAGTTGCCGCTATGTTAGAAAATCGACGATGTAATTCTGGTGTTCATTCGAGCGACAAAGGACGATCCTCCTCTCGCGGCACCGCAGGTCGATGGCGGCGGCGGCAGCGACGAAGGCGGAGGCGGAAAGGGTGCCCGATTTATCTTGCAAAACTAACTCATAGGCAATTCTCGCGCGCGCCGACTATCGAGGGCGGCTCCCCAGACGTCCATTTACAACTTTGCCCAGGGAAAATAGAGTCTTACATGCAAGATTTACATCCTGCTTTGTCCTGGCGTCCCTGTAACTTCCGTGGAGCGCCCTTTCGTGCCCATGCGCGTCATGTTCTCTTGCCCCCTTCGCTGTAATGGTCGTGAATTAATAATTCGCGTCGAGTTCCCACGTGCCCCGAATATCCCCGGTGAAAAGTGTCACGAATCCCGCACCCCCGGTATCCATTGGTATTTGTGTGGTGTGTGTGTGGGTGGGGGGGGATGTGTGTGTGTGTCAGCGTGCGCGCGTCTGCAACGTACATAAACGGAAATCGGATCGATCATTATTCATAGTACGATTCCGGCAAACGTCATCGTCCTACCTCCATATTGATTGCACGGTCGTGATGCAGAGCTATTTGGCTATTTTAACGACGATCGATCGCAGATGAATTTTAATAAAATGAATTTTATATGTCTCAAGATAAAATCGGAATCTGGAAAAAGATTACGCCTGTTCCATCCAAATATTTTAAATTTCTAAATTCTTAATGAGTGAATCCGTAACGAGCCAAAGTGACTATTCTTTCTGAATTAAAGCTTATCCATAAAAAAGTTTCTATATCTAATCTACATTTTTGGTATAAAATGCGTCTAGATGCGTCATCGTTGATGTCCAGCGATCGACAGCGGAACGCTGAAGATTAAAGGCCCGTCGTTGCTGCTTACGGACACGTCCGTCGACCGTTCGATTTATATCCGGTTTTGGCCCCGGAAAACTACCGCCGCTCTCGCGGGAGCGAAAGAAGCGTGGGAAAAGCATCCCTCGCCACGGATTCAGCCGAGACGCGCGCGCAAATGACTCTTTCCATTCCTCTTTCAGGTACGCAGAGCCGAAGCGCTATTCGTCCAACGGCCGGGACATGACGGTGGTTTTAAGACGTGCCTCCAACAGTCCCACCGACGAGGAGTACATGGAGATCTCATACTACTTCCACGACGGTAAGTCGTAAAAAAGAGTATCGCCGGACAGGAAGGACGAAACGTGTCGCGGTCCGCCGCGCGGACTCAAAATAAAACTTGAAACAAAAGATTGCACGCCAGAAATTGGATTATGACGCGCGCCGTCACCACGCAATCAAGTCAGCGTAAGCGTCACGAAATCGCGAAGAACACCTCTGTAAACCTTTTTCCTGTTATCGCCCGGTACAGCTTACTTTTTTTACGCGCGCCCGTTTCTTCTCCCTCTTTCATTTTTTTTTTATTTATTTTTTTCTTGTTCGTTACGAGCGCAATCGCACTTCTTTACGTGCCTCCGAGAAGCTTCTTCATTTTATGTTTCCGAGCGGAAGTTTTAAGAAAGATCGCACAATGAAATTTATCCCATAATTTGACGTTTCTCTGCTTTCTCTGAATATCGTGAATTTCTTGAATAGTACGAAAATTGCATTGTAATGAATAATTAAAAAATTTAATTTTTTTTATATAATAATATGAAATATGTACGAATACATCTTTGCTTTCAATAATCGCGGTGATCTACGGATAACATGTACGAAAATAATGATTGTCTAATAATAATACTTTTTTATAAAGTGCGAAAAGCGATCAGTTTCTGTATAGTGATAGTGTATGTCATTTTCGTAAACGGCGCAATTTATGTCCGTTTCCGCGGTCCGGTCGATCCAAATCGAGTTTTTGCCCGGAGTGCATCTCGAGTAACCGACTATGGCGCATCCAAACCGCTAATTACGAATAACTAATTACCGTAAATACGTCTCGGCATATCGATGTCAAAGCTTCGGCCCTCCCTCTCCACTCTTAATCGGATGAATGTAGGCACGTCCGGATGATAATCCTGAAATTCGCTTGGCACTCGACCGAGGGATTCTGGTTGGCTGCCGGAGGACACATTCGCGATATCGACGCGACGATCCTCGCAAAAACGACGGTCGCGCTTAATCCGCGTTTCAAAGATTAGATTTAACCCCGATTAAGTAGCCACGAGCTTTCCTTGAGCAATCTCGGAAATTAAAATGAGAATCCGAGTATATTATACGCGTTCACGTCCGGCAACTCGTAATTATTCGCGGTCGGATAATTATCCGCTTGCAACTATTACAGATATTTTGCAAAGTAAAGCCAGACTACTGCGTATCACAGGCTTGAAAGGCACGAAATTTGAATTCAAAGCGGGAATGATGCGTGTGTATCATGTACACTAAACTGTAATTTTCAGTATAAAGCTCCACACATTTTCCAAATAATGAGTAATATGAACGTTGCAAGATATTAGCTGGTCTCGCATATTTCCTAATGTTCCTATCGTATTTCTATTCTAAAATATTTTACTACTTTAACATTTGAGAATTTACACTTTATTTTTCATTTTTCTAATTTATCGTCTCTCCCTCGTAAATTTAAGCGGTGAATTTTATTGAAGCTGAAAATTAAAATCGATTAAGCATTTTGGAACACAAACTAATAGTGCGATAAAATTTTAACGAACAAAACGAAACTCGGACAGCAATAATTGAATTTTGATATCGATGAGATTTTAAACACACACATCGACCGAATTTTATGACACATCATGTCGATATCAAATTCTCGTTCCGGCAGATTTTTTTTTTTTTACGTTTCCCATACAAAATGATTACTGGCATCGCTTGTAGCCAGTGGCTATCCCGAGTTACAACAATCGTACAAGCGAGAGGCATGTAGATTCAATCATGGACCATTATAAAAAAGAGGCGTAAATGACAAGAAATAAAAATCATGCCTGACGACAAACTACCATTGATGGGACGGTGATTGACGAGAATGATCGTGTTTCCGGCCAACGTTATTACGTTTACACGTGTTACATGCATTCATGCCTCCTCCCAGTGTCTCTCCATTCGTCACGGCGAATCGACGAGAACAAACGGCGCGTTTGAAGTCTTAAATAACAACGTTGTATTTAAACGGGGAAATAAACCGCGTACGTCGGCCGCGTTCGAATCGACTTCATTCGTCAGCTTTTTTATTTCACGTTCGTGTAACGAACGTTCCACACAAAGATCTCGCTATTTCACTTTTTCCTCCCTTCCTTCTCACCGGAGAACCGTTGAATATCAAGATCGAACGTTTTTCGATCTCTGTGCCTACGTTATTTCGCGCAGAGTACGATCCGGCGGAACATAAAACTTTATGCGACCCAGGGAGACCGATCTCCTTATAGGAAAGAGGTCGAATTCAACCGGACGACCCCGAATTGCCGCGAATAATCATGCGAAATTGCCGTGCAAGAAAACGGAACGAGGGAATCCCGTCTGCCGAGCAAACTCCAACTCGAAATAAAAGTGCCCGTAAGGCATTTACCCACCTATAACACGTAGTAATATAGATAGATCTCTCTGACTGCGAGAAACTATCTGTGGAGAAAAAAATTAAGCTAAGAGACGCGAAAAGAGGAAGGTTACATGAGACCCACGAGAATTCAACAAAATGAATTTGCAATAAAATGAAAATATTTTATACATTCGGAATCGCTTTGATAATTCCTAGATGACATCTCGAGATAGATAATAATTTTTTCATCCGCTTTCCGTATCATTTTTTAAATTAATTTTATAATTAATTTGTTGCACGAGAAATTACATTAATTACATTAACAGAGAAATTTAGGAATATTGTAATTTTTTTCTCATGTACACAGATCAGAAGTTTTCTTTATTATTCTTTATCTTTTTATTAGGATCTTTCTTTATTATCATTATTTCTTTTGATTATCGTGTCTCTCTTTTGTTACAACAATTTTATTGATTTACTAAATTTATAATTAACTTGTTTATAATTAACTTGCGTAAGAAATCATTAAATTATATGATAGATGAACCCATGGATACCACTTTGCGCGTTTGGATTAAAGTTTTACTTTTGCGAAGCGTAGTTTGCGAGCGTAATTTCTCTTGACACCTTCACAAGCGACGCACTTCCATCTGCTCCAGAACGTGAGGGTGGCACTCAGCAGCCGGCCAGCGTATGTGACGTCGAATATTACGGATTGACGTCACCGGTGGAGGGCTCGGTGGTGCATCCGGAACCGCATCGGCTATTCGCGATGGAAGGCCCGGTGAAGTGCAGGCAGCACTTTATACCGGCGCCCAACCAATCGGTGGTCATTACGGTGAGTTTCCCAATGAAATGTCTAATCTCTATTCGTTTAATCGGCCGCCGGGAATCGAGTCCTTCGTGAATTTTCATCATTCTCGATTTTAGATTCCTGCACTTTAAAGTCGCTTGAAGAAGAAGAAAGAACATCACGCGCAAAAATTATCATTGCAGGAGACTTGAGATTCCAGAAACTGAAACTTTCTGCATTCGCGACGCGAATCTTTAATCTTCGTTCGAATAATATTCCGCGGATCGGAAACGCGGTTGTGAAACGAAGGGGAGTGTGGTTCAGCCACGGATTTCAGCGGCTCCTACGAGAACGATAAAGTGCAACAATTGAATTTCTGATGGAAACATATCAACTGTAATCCATGCTGAACGATACGAGCGTCGCATCCGCATTGCGAATCCGTTACGCCCGACGGGAAGAATCGTGCAACTTTAATCCGTCGCGCTCATGCAAATCTTTTTATGTTATTTTATACGTATATAATATATAAAATTTATTCGCCATCCGTACCATAACTGACATGCTTTTTTGCGAATGTGGCATAAACAAAAGAACATCTCAATCATTGGAGAAAATAACAAAACGAATAATTTCAACTGGAAATTACACGCACGATAATATCGCTCGATAATTAATTATTTGTATTGTTTTCGTTACCTTTTTTCAACCTCTTTTTTTCCGCTTGCCGTACAGATTTTCATTTTTCGCATTCATTTTTCGGAGCGTTCACATACTTCCGTTTGCAGGTGAAGGGTAGCACGAAGCAGACGCCGAACAATCCGTGCGAGACCAAGTGCGGCGACAGCGGCTGCCACTGCGTCAGCAAGTCCCTGGAGAGCATGGACCACCTCCTGCTCGTCTCCGAGACCGGACACATTGTCACCTGTCTCTGTGGGAATTACCAGGTAAACGCGAATTGCGGAAAAACTTTATTCCATTGCCTCCGCCTCGAATGAACGTCTCGACGGAGTGGCCGCCCTTAACCCCCACGTATACTTCCGCTCCTTGAATGCCGCGAGATAAAAGCTATCGTTATTACCGCAACTTTTACACCCTTCGCATTGTCATGTGAAAACATCGGCGAGATGTCGTTAAAATATATCGTTCACAATACGCAACCTTCTACTACGGATTTCTCTATGCTCGTTATTCTTTCGGGAAATGATTTTCTCCTCCTTTCCTTTTAAAAAGGAAATTTGTTACTCGCGAAACTTTTTTTAAAAATCTAAAACATATTTTTTTTGATATCGATAAAGTGAGTATTATGAAATGGAATTCTGCGAAAATCATTGTTTGCGTAAAATTAATTTGATGTATTATATACAATGCTATTAACGCTCATATAAAATATATAATATCGGTTTCATTAACATGATTTCATCATTTACATCATGTTGTATAATCAGCTTAAAAATTTTTAATTTACTGTGTAATAATCTTCTATTATTTTTGATAAATTTATAATATGGTGCGTATGTTACAATGATTACAATGTATACCACTGTATCAAAATGAAATGAGAAAGCGGCACCGCTGCCGAAAATACACGCCGAAAATGTTTTACCATTTTCTGAGATTTACGTTTAATTGGAAAAATATTTAACAGTTATCGGTGCTAAATAAATTTCTATATTTATTTATGCAAAACGCTTTTGCCACAATCTCGCGCGTACACTGTGCAACTGACCTGACTTTGACTCTATCCACACGATGATTATTAATAGACGTATTATCAGATTACACCTGATCGAGTGTAATCGTTATGGCGAGTCTATAAACGGTAATACGATTTCGATTCGTGGGATCATCATTTCATATTCAAATGCTCGTTATTCCGACACAATTGAGGCTATCATGCAAACAACGAGCTAAATCTGTGTAATTTAACTGTATAGGATTAAATCCGAAATCCGCGATTGATAATTAAGCGTCGTTGCACGATTAGTCGACAAGTCCATCCATGTCTATGTCGTTTTTTCCACACATTTCAGCTCGGTCCTTTTTTTATCGACGTTTCTTTTTCATCGTTATTTTCGATCTTTTAACGGTTCTTTCAGCCTTTTTACTTTCTATAAACTGCCCATCATTTTCCTCATATTCCTCGATCCTCATTTCATCCGTCTAACGGGCTCTATTATCGCGCAGGACTGGCTTCCGGTAGGCATCCGTAGCTGGACCCCGGTCTACATCGAGTGGTCGAGGTCGTCGAGGGCGGGCCTCAATTTCCACGCGGCCTACAAGTTTATCAATGACACTTACTGTGGCGATCACACAACGGCGGAGCCGGAAGGCGAGGTGAATGGGGGTGATCTAGCGAGCGCTGGGCTCAAGTTGAATCAGTATTACCAGCAGAAATGTACCTGGATCCTGGACTCGCCGATCGACCGGCAACTCGTCATCGAAGTCAAGTCCACTCAGAGCCGTGAGTAGCTCTTACATTTATGTGGCTCGCTCGCAGAAATCATTTTAACAGACTTTTGATATCAACTTTTACAATATCTTACATCACTTATGTGAATACTCAACTCTAAGTAACTTCTAATAAGTACGCATATAATTACAGAATTCTCTTTTGTTTTACATAGTTTCATGTAAGGGAGAATATTTTGGTAATTTTATGATTCAGTAATAATTATAAATACGAATTTTTTGTTTTTTTTTTTTTTTGTTAATGTTGTTATCCATAAAATTCGTTAGCCTGTAATTTTATATCTTGTAAGAAAGCTGCGAGCAGTTTAATAGCACGAAAATGATTTATCTAGGAGTACCTATCTACGTCTCTCCAGAGAGCATTTCTCGAACGATTTATCTTCGAGCGGCATTAAAAGAAAACAAAAAGCAGCTGCGTTCCGAAGCAGCGTATCTCTCGCAGATCTCGAGCATTAAGAATCTCGCGTCACCATGGCGCAATTAATTTCTTTACTATGACGAACCTGTTGATATTTCCGCTGAAATTATTCCGACTTAACGACATAACTCTCGTGCGCATGAAATTTTCAAATGAATATTTTTTTATAAAATTGCAATTACTTCGATCAACTCTTGAATTACACTTTTTATCATCATTTAGCGAAAATCCATCATCACGGTTTTCGCTTTATCGGAAGGAGCTCTTCAAGGAATTCAAACGTATTAAAAGAAAACAATTCTCAAGCTAAACTATATTGCCGCCTCGATGTTTTGTCGAGACGTAATTATATTATATATCGGAATATTATTATATCGGAGGACAACATTTATTTCGAGTTGTTATCCTTAACGACGTTTCCCGCCGTCGCCTTTAGCTTTTATTTCGATAAGCGTAAATTCTAGTCCCGCGCCTCGCAATAGGATTCTATTCGCAGAATTCTATCCGCAAAATTCTATTTCGATCCCGGTTGCGGGGCTCGAGAGAAAACAGAGATAGATCATCCCTCGCGCGACGCGCCCTGTCTCTGGCGACGACACGGCGAAATCTTCTCTCGATTGCTTTTCTTCCGAGACCGTCGGAATTTCTATCCGCGCCATTGGCTCCGCCGCCGTCGCCGCCGCCGTCGTCGTCGCGGCGAACGAAAGGGTGAAAGTTGTAGAAGAATAAGTCGAGGGGTGAGAGAACGTCGCGGCCGACCGAAGAGACAGAGGAGCGCGGCGTGAAACGAATGGCAGTGGGTCGCGAGATTAAAGAGACCATCGGATTTACCACGACAACGGAAGCTCAAGCTTCGTCGTGTAGAAACGATGCTGCACTCTCTTCATTTCCTTCTCTCTCTCTCTCTC